TTACAAACAACAACAACAACATAGCATTGTAGGATAATGCACTGGACTGTAAGGTTGGTTTGAATTGCAAGTTTGTCGGTTCAAATCCATCAGCCACTTCTCAGAAACCCTATATAGGGTCGCTATGAGTTGGAACTGACTCAATGGCACTTAACAACAACAACAACAAAATATGTATTGTAAATCCTAACCTCTAAGCCTGTGCTTATAATCCCATCTGGGAAAGGGTTTTCTTGTAAATGAGGTAGGATTTGTGTCAGGGGAATCGTGAGGCAAAATCTTTTATTCTATAAAACCCAAACCAAATTGACTTCCATAGGGTCGATTCTGATCCTAATGACCCTGTGATATATAAAAGAGATTAAATAAGGGAGGAGAGCAGAGATGGGGGAAGGCCGATGACAAACCACCTGGGCATTTCCAAGGAACCAGGGAACAAGTTGAAGGGACAAAGATGTTCCTCAGAGCAGACAGAAAGAGAAAGCCTTCCTCCTAGAGCCAGCAACCTGAATTCGTACATCTAGTCTCAAGAACCTGAGAAAACAAATGCCTATTAAAGTCACTCACTTGTGTTCTTCACATAACATCAGCACGAGGGAACTAAGCCAGGAAGAGCACTGGTTTTGACTATCAGGCAAATTCGGGCTCCACCATTTACCTGGGTGGCACTGTAGGATAAACCCTGGACTGCAAGGTCGTTTGAACCACAAGGACGGCGGTTCAAACACACCAGTCTCAGAAACCCTATACTGAGCTACTGTGAGTCAGAACCACAACAACCACCATTTTCCTGCTGTGTGTCCTTGGGCAAATCACTTAACTTCTCAGAGTCCGAGTCTCAGCTCCCTCATATGAAAAATGGAAACAATTGTAGTTTCAATGTCTCTGGAGAACTGGAAGTTTGAAAAATAGAAAAGAATCTTTGTAAAGATTTTTGCACAGTGCCTGGTGTTCAGAGTTTTAAAAAGCCCAGAACACACTCCCTCCACTTATCTTGATGTAAACCTTTCTACAGCAACACTCTGCCCAGCACATCCTTGTTCCCTTTATCTGGTTTCCCAGGCTGCTGGACACCATGCAGCTCCTCCATCCTTCAAGGGTCCAGAGAGAGCAAGGCTTGGTCTATGGTCACAAGCAAGTCAGTGGCTTTCAATCCTGGTCTCTGGATTGAAATTGACCTGGCTCAAATTTTGACTCAGTTCCTGATTGCTGTGTGGCGTTAGGTGAGTGACTGAACTTCTCTGAGCCTCAAGTTTCCTGGTCTATGAAATGATCATGTAAAATGTCCAGGTCTGAGGTGATAATGTTATGATTAGTTGTGTTCTGTCGACTCTAACTCACGGCAGCCTTACGAACGCCAGAACATAACATTGCCATTCTTATGACTGGCTGTGTGTTACTCTCTCTCTCTGAAGGTTTCCTTCATTACTCTGACCCTCGACTTTAACAACACGATACCTTTTTCTAGTGATTGGTCTTTCTTTCCTGATGACAATGAGTTGAAGTCTACCATCTTCACTTCTAAGGAACATTCTCATTGTATTTCTACAATCATAATAAAGGTATTGGATTTAAAGGGCTGTTACAAGAATTACGGCAAAAGAGAAGCTGTAAGCCTGTGAGATTTAAGGTGTAGAAGATGAGAATGAATGGGTAAACTTGGTCCTAGTCAGCTGGTTCTCACCTCCCTTCACACCTCCCCCCCACACACACACCCTCACCTACCCCACAAACAAAGTGTCTGCCCTGTCTGGGGTCTGGGAGAAGCTCAGTGCTTCCCACATGCAGAGGCAGACCTAAGGTGGAACAGGTACGGCATGTGCCCTGGACGCCTTTTGAAGGGAGGCATCGCTGAGCAGCTTTTTTAACCATCCAATTTCCATTACCAGCTGTGCGCGCTCATTCAGCCAGTTAAAACTAACACTTTTGTATCTGAGAGCCTCCATGGGTCAGGGCAGAATCTTGGTGTGGTGCAATAGGATAAGTACTGGATTGCTAACTACAAGATTGGAAAACCCACCAGCTGCTCCTTGGAAACCCTATGAGTCGTAACCAACTCGATGGCACTTGACAACAACATGGGTTGGAGCAGACTGTGTGCTCTGCTGAGTGTACAAAAAGAAAAAACTGAGAACAAAAAACCACCACCTCCCTTTGAGCACCTCATATACCAGTTTTCATGAATGAAAGCAAGCAAGTTGCAGCTGTCTTTTTCATTCATTAACCTCAGGTGCTAAGTGAAAAGTGAATGAGCTTGACTTGGAGTTTTGAGCTGAGATTAGGTAATGTTATCTAAAAGGTGGATGTTGGTTTTCCGAAGGAGCTCTTTCCATAGATAGACCTCTGCCCACACTGCATCTTATTTCAGCCTCAGTCCTCGGTGGCAGGAATCTGGTAAACCCTAGTTCCCAGATGAGGACATCGAAGCCGATGGGAGCTGAGCGAAATCCCTGAGCTGGCCTTGCAGTCCTGTACCACCTTTCTCAAGGGAGGCCCAGGCGGCCAGCAGGCTCAGCCCAGTGGAGGGCTGATTGTCGTCACTCCCTTTCTGTTCTGCTACCTGCAGCTCCCAGCTCTTTGAGAGTCATCTTGAAGAGTTGGCTGCCCTCAAACCTAAAAACAAAACAAAATCCCTGCTGCAACACCAGGTCTCCTTAACCCTGGATGGACCTGTGTATCTTTCCCTCATCCCTCCACCTGTTGCAGGCATGAAGTCTGGGAGCCAATCCCTCGGCTTTGGGGTGGGAGGCCAGCTCAGCTGCCTCACCCTGGTGACCAAGCAGGCTAGGCTGCCTCCACCCCTCCTCCTCTTCATTGGACTGCAAGCTCCGGGCACTGCCTGTCACGGCCTAGAACAACAAAGGCCAGAAAACTGTACGTTGGGGTGACCACAGCGAGGAGGCAGAGCCAGGGCTGTCTGCAACCTCCTGCCCTCCATCTGACACCCCTGGCACAGGTGGCCCAAGGTATGGCACTGCTTACCTGGCTGGGTAACTTTGCTGTTCTTCCTCTTCATCTAATTAATACAGTTGTACATACAAACAGCTTTCTTGAGCTATAACCCACATCCATACAGTTCACCCACTAAAAGCATACAATCCAAGGGTGTTTAGTCAGATTTGTCACCCACGATCTATGTTAGAACATTTTCACCACCCCAAAACCCCATACCATTTGTTGTCACCTCTATTCTCCCTTGACCCCAGTCCCTGGTAACCACTAATCTACTTTCCATCTCTGTAGATTTACCGATTTGGGATTGTTGTTGTTAAGTACCGCGGAACTGGTTCCGACTCATAGCGACCCTGTACAGGGTTTCCGAGGCTGTATATCTTTACAGGAACAGAAAGCCTCATCTTTCTCCTGCAGAACAGCTGGTAGTTTCAAACTGTTGACCCTGAGGTTAGCAGCCCGATTCGTAACCACTACGCTACCGGAGCTCCTTCCGCTTTGGGATGTTTTTGTTGTTAAGTGCCATCGAGTCATCAGTTCTGACACATAGTGACCCTGTATAGGGTTTCCGAGGAGTGACTTGTGAGCTTGAACCGCTGACCTGGCAGTTCAAACAGCTTTGCAGTCTGGTGCATTAACCCACAGTGTCACACCAGGACTCCGATTTGGAATAGTTCATATTAAATGGAATCAGACATGAGCTTTTGTGATGGGTTTCCTTCACTTAAAAATTGTCGTTATTATTAAATGCCGTAGAATTGATTCTGACTCCTAAGGGACCCTGTATGGGGTTTCTGAGGAGCAGCTGGTGGGCTCACAGTCCAGTGTTTAGTCTACATTGAACATAGTGTATTGGGAAGTGGAAATCTATCACCACAGCCTTCAAGGGGGTGGAGCAGGGTCTATCTGCACCATTTTGCAGATGAGAACACTGAGGCCCATGGTCCAAAAAAATAAAACAAAGCAAAACCCACTGCCATTGAGTTGATTTAGACTTATAACGACCCTGTTTAGAGTTTCTGAGGCTCTAAATCTTTATGAGGACAGAAAGTCACATCTTTCTCCAGAGGAGCAACTGGTTGGGTTTAAACTGTCAATTTCATGGCTAATAGTCTATACTTAAAAACTATCCAAATTATGTGTACAAGTATTTACCTGTCATACAAACACAGCTAGTAATGTGGTGGAGCACACAGCAGGTAAAGTGGTGAAAACTTCCTAGATACGAACAAACATCTTAAGGCAATGAGTTTGGTGGGCCTGGGGGCTCAGGACCAGAGTCTTAGGGGACACCATGGTCAACTGGCATAACATAGCCCACAAAGACAATGTTCTACATCCCGCTTGGATGAGTAGTGTCTGGGATCTTGAAAGCTCATGAGCAGCCCTCTACGGACCTGAGTTGACTGAATTTAACAACAACAAAGTGTAGAAGAAAGAAGACTGATAAGAATTGAAGAGGCTTGGAATCAATTAGTCCAATGGACTAACGGAACATGTGAACATCAGTCTCCCTGACTCTGAGACCAGAAGAACTAGACAGTGCCCGGCTGCTAGTACCAACTGTTCCGAAAGGGATTGCATTAGAGTGTTCCAGATAGAGTAGGTGAAAATGTGGAAAAAACCTTAAAATTATTTTTAAAAAAGAATTTACTAATCAGAAAGACACTGTAGGAACCAGAGACTGTGTCCCTCAATCACCCTTCAAATCTGTAAAGAAACTCACCAATGTTCAGTCAAGCATTGTTGTTGTTGTTGTTGTGAAGTGCTGTCGAGTCGATTCTGACCCATAGCGACCCTGTATAGGGTTTCCAAGGAGTAGCTGGTGAGCTTGAACCACCGACCTTGCAGTTCAAACGGCTTTGCAGTCTGATGCATTAGCCCACAGCACCACACCAGGACAACAAGTCAAGCATTAGATAGGTTTTTTTTTTTTTGAGGGGACAACAACATTGGCAAGATATGCTGACCATGGAATGGTAGATCACTCAGGATCAAAAGGACATTTTCCTAAGGACAAAGTTGAGAAGGGTTAGGAAGGGGATGGAATGCAGGTGAGAACCACAGTGAGGAGGCGGGTTAACTGTTGTTCTGTGAAGGGGATTGTAATCATTGCGAAACAAAGTGTGTGATCAGTGGAATGTAAAGTTGATCTTGTCTGTAAACCCTCATTCAATTCACAATAAAAAGTTAAAAGAAAAAAAAAGTTTATCCAAATCCCTACCCACTGCTATCAAGACAGGTTTCAACCCTATAGGATGGAGTAGAACTGCCCCATAGGTTTTCAAGGCTGTCCTGGTGTGCTGCTATAGGATAAACACTGGACTGCTAACCACACGGTCAGTGGTTCAAACCCAATAGCTGCTGTTTGGAAACCCCATACAGGGTCACTATGAATTGGAACCAACTGTACAGCACTTAACAACGACAACAAGAGGACTGCCATATTGTTCTCCATAAGAGTGGATGGTGGATTTGAACTCAGGACCTTCAGTTAGCCAAAGCTCTTAATCACTGTGCTACCAGAACTCTTTTCTCCAAGATCATCAGCTAATAAGAGGGACGAGCTGGAGGGAAGCTTGTAGTCCAGGACTGCTTCCTGTCCAGACTACAGGGACATCCTGGCCTGGCATAGAAGCTGCCCCACCAGACCACCATAGAAGCATTTCTTGGGGTTTGAGGCTTGCCCTGAGGGGAGAGAGGGAAGCAAGGACCAGGGACTATGGACTTAGGAGAGGACCTTATTGGGAGAATTTTCTCAAGGCCACCCCTGTACTGAATGACTCAGGCAGGGGTTTCCATGAATCAGTATTGATAACAGCAGTTTGTTAAGGACCCACTAAGTGCCTGTTGTGAGCATACACACTAAATCATTAGACCCTCAGCAACCCTGCATAGTAAATGTTGTTAAGTGCCGTCGAGTTGGTTCTGAATCATAGTGACCCTGTCTGTATAGGCTTTCTGAGGCTGTAAATCTTCGAGGGAGCAGAAAGTCTCATCTTTCTCCCACAGAGTGGCTTGTGGGCTCGAACCGCAGATCTTGTGGTTCGCAGTCCAATTCTTATCATATAGAGCCACTGTATTTCCATGGTAAATATTACCAACCTGGACTAAGGAAAACCTTCCCAAGAGCTCACTGTGGGCTGGGCCCTGTTCTAAGTCGTTTAATCCTCGCAGTAACCTCTCTCTGAAATAAGAACCACCACTATGCCCATTTTACAGAGCGGAAAGCTGAGGCCAAGGTTAAAAGTGTTGACCAAGATTACGCAGCGAGTAGGCAGAGAAGCTGAGATTCAAACCCAGGCTGTCTGGTGGCTTCCGTTACATCACAAAGTTACACGTCGCGAAGCTGAGATTTGAACCTAGGTCTGTAGGATTTGAAGCAGCTAACACTTGTGCCAACCATGCCACCTCACCAATTCCACTGGCCAGGGCCCGCACCACAGAATTGAATTGGAAGGACTCAAAGGTTACAAGATATATATATGTATAATTTTTTATTGCGAATTGAGTGAGCGTTTACAGAGAAGATCATCAGTTTTACATTCAGCAAATCATACACTTCATTTCATCTCAATGACTACAATCCTATCAGTGAAGCATCATGGTTCCCACTTCGTCCCTGTGATTCTTGTCACCAGTCCTTCTTGCCCCACCCTCCTGAATTTTGTCCTTAGCTAAATGGTGCCCTTTTGAATCCTGAATGGCTGACTCTTCAGTGGTGTGCATACCTCACAAGTATTGCTGTTCCCCCCTCCAGACACCTGTGTGTTGCTTGGGTGAAAATTGAATCATAGAGGTGAGTTCACTTCCAAACCTGAAGGGTGACCAAGGGCCATAGTCTTGGGGTCCCACCAGTCTGTCTGACCAGTAAGCCTGAACTTTTTGATGATTTTGAGTTTTGTTACACATTTTCTCCCATTCTGTCCAGGACCTTTTAACGTGATTCCTTTCAGAGAAGTTTCCTGGTCTGCTGCCTGCAGCTTGTCTTTCCAATGAGGAAGAAGAGTCCCCGAGAGGGGGCAAGAGTCCCCCATGCCAGCCTAGGCTCACCTGTACTTCTCTTTCCCCCTCCAGACGGAGCCTGTGGCTGGTGAGGCTGCTGAGCAGGGCCAGGCCGGGCCCTGCCTGCAAGGACGCCCGAGCCCTCCACTGGCCCCTGTGCCAGGGAATACTCCAGGCTCTCCTACCGGCCCCACCATGACATCGGAGCCCACATCACCTCCAGTCGTGCCCCCTCTCCACTCTCCCAAGTCCCCCGTCTGGCCCACCTTCCCCTTCCATCGGGAGGGCAGCAGGGTCTGGGAACGGGGTGGTGTCTCATCTCGGGATCTACCCAGCCCGCTGCCCACCAAACGGACCAGAACATATTCAGCGTGAGTACCTGCCTCTCGCCCAGGAAAGAACTCCAGCCAGGCTGCCCACCCTGTCCGTTCAGATCCTTGGAAGAACTCAGGTCCCACCCAAGGATAGGGAGCTGTCTAAGTAGTTCCAGGAACTGCAAGTGTTCATTCATTTATTCACTCATTCATCAACGAAAATTTGTTGGCCTCTTGATCCAGTGATGAGAAACACAAAGCCCCGCCCAGGAGTCCTCACCACGAGCAGGGTTAGGGGTGAAGGCCCAGCCTGGGTGTTGGGAGATGATTTATCCTATGAAGTGATGAATGAGAAGAATATGGCTGTTTCAGTATGTAGTGAGTGTCCCATTTTGGGAGGTGATCAAGTTTGGCTTGACCATCCATCACTCAAGAGAGCTGACAACTGGAATCCGCTTAAGTCTGAACCACCTCAGGAAGGGAAGGTGCTGTGCAAAGGAAGGGCCCTGGGAGAGCCAATGAGCCTCAGTATTCTCGTCTGTTGAATGGGGGCCATCTGAGGACTGAATGGCCTGGGAAGGGCCCCAGCAGCCTTTAGTAGTCTTAGCAGGTAGGGCCTAGGAGGGCTGTGGGGTTCCAGGCCACGGCTCCAATCCCTCTCCCCTATCCCAGGACAGCCCGTGCCTCGGCTGGCCCCGTGTTCAAGGGCATCTGTAAGCAGTTCTCGCGCTCACAGGGCCATGGCTTCATCACCCCCGAGAACGGGTCTGAGGACATCTTTGTACATGTGTCTGAGTGAGTCCTCCACCACCTCCCCAACCTTGGCTGGGCCTCTAGTGCTGCATGAGCCCCACTTCGAAAAATGCCTCATGAGCCCTCTTTCTCCTCCTCCTCTTAGCAGGGGCTGGGAGTGCATGGGGGGAGGAGGGGGCTGAGCCAGGTGGAAAGGGGGCACTCAGACCCCAGAAGCCTGGGAATCATAGGCTGGGTTCTGGGTACCAGTTCCATGAGGCACAGGAGGGTGAGGCCATCCCTCAGGCCTTTTAGCATGGAAGACGTCTCAGGTAGGCAGGCCAGGAGGTGGGAGGCCTGGGTGTTGGACTGGCCTGTCCCTAGTACCAGGGGGATCACTCCTCAGGGACCTCACTGGGCCCTTTTCTATCTCACTTAACTCCAAACTCCACAAGCAGCAGGCGCTGTTTATGATTTCCATTTCGTGGTTGAGAGCTGAGGCCAGGCTGCAGGGGCGTCTGGGCAGGGGAGGTTGCTGCTGGGACTGACTCTCTTCCTCCCACCAGCATCGAGGGCGAGTACGTGCCCGTAGAAGGTGACGAGGTGACCTACAAGATGTGCCCCATCCCGCCCAAGAACCAGAAGTTCCAGGCTGTGGAGGTGGTCCTCACCCAGCTGGTCCCTCACACCCCCCACGAGACATGGTCTGGCCAGGTTGTAGGCTCCTAGGCTGCTGGTGCCGGTGCCAGCTGGCTGGTTGGTGGGAGCCAGCCCCAAGTCCCCACTGCACTGGGCAGCCTCAGTGTGCACGTCTGTCTGTCTGTCTGTGCTTGTGGCTGTGAGCGTGTGCCTCTACCCACCCCTGTGACCCATGACTGTTTGTGAGCTGGCCAGGGGGAAGGTCACCAGGCCCGTCTCTCTGCCTGTCCACTGCCCCTTCCTTGTCCCCCACATGTACACACACAGGGTCTTCTTGTCCTCCTGTCCACATCAGGCCCAGCTGGGACTGAGGGGAGCTGAGGGGGTTTTGAAGTTCCTGTTTTGCCACTACTTCTTTGGTCTGGCAGTGGCTCTGTGAACCCCAAACTGAGGCTATGTTCCTTCACCTTGGCTACACAGAGGTGAGATCTGGAGGGCTGGGGGCCCATCTCCCCCAGTTTGGACAAAGTCTGATGCTCTGTCACATGCTGGGCTGTGCTTGCTGCAGACAGGGTGCTGGGCAGAGACCCGTCCCCTCAGGCAGGGTTGGTGGGTGTGCAGAAGCCCTCACTCTAGACCCTATTTCCACAGGCTCAGGATGGGCAGCTCTAGCTGGAGTCCCTTAGGGCCAAGATGTGTGTGCCCATGTGTGTGTGCGTTCACTCTTGGGCCAGGGAAATGGCCTCCACCCCTCTACTGCCCCCCACTAACCAGTTGTCATTGAGTTGACAGCTCATTGTGACCCCGTGTGTTAGAGTAGAGCTGCCCTCCATGGGGTTTTCAGTGGCCGAGTTTTCAGTAGATGGCCAGGTCTTTCTTCCAAGGCACCTCTGAGGGGACTCAGCCTCTGACCTTTTCTTAGCAGCACAAGAACCATTTGCACCACCCCTGGAACCCTCCCCCACCCCACTCCTGGGAGGACAACACCCCAGAAGGGGAAGAAATGGGCTCACAAGTTGAAGGGCGGGCCTGCCAGGGGCCGTGACGCCTAGGGAATCCAGTCTGTGACTACAACTAGGTGTTCAGTTGCCCAGGATGAGGGTGTCCGTGATTGTGTAGGGCATCCCCAGCTCTGCAGGTGCCCCAAGAACCCAGGGTAGAGATCACCTAGGGTGTCTATGTCCCACTCTGCCTCCACCCCAACACAGAACTTCTGAGATGTGCTGGCCAGTCCCTCCCCTCTCCCCCCAAACCAGGAAAGGCCCAGCCTACCTGATATGCCACTCTAAACTGGGGCTACCATGGTAAAGCCAAAAGTCCATCCCCTGAGGAACAAGGACTCATGGCCCTGTTGGCGGAAGGGAGCCACACTGGGGCAGGTTAATTCTGGCCACAGCCCAAGGCTGCCTCTCTCTGGGAATAGGCCCCCTTTCCAGTGTGCTGGCATCAAGTTCTGGGGTGCTGGGTGTCAGCAGGGCAGCAGCTTTTCTCCCCCTCCCCAGTGTCCAGTCAAGACCCCCCCAGATACCCCAACTCCCTCATCCTTCCTAATACTGGCAATAAACCCTCAACTGTGACTCACGCTGACCCTCAGCTGTCTCTCTGTCTGGGCCCTTGGGGAAAGGGCTGGGGGTGATCAGAAGAACCCAGCTCTGAGGAGGCACTGGCTTCCTGGGTAGCCTGGGTAAGTCCTTGGCTATTTCCTCATCCACAAAACGACGGTGCTATAGCATCAGGCGGGCCCATTGTCTGCTCAGACGGTCTTGACGCCGTACCTTGTTCCGGGAACTTTAATATTTCCAACATCAAGTTCTCTAAAACAAGCGCCATCTCCACCACACTGTACCCACTGAGGCAGCCAGGCAGGGCGGGCTCTATCTCAGACCCCCCCCCACACACCCCCTCCTCCTAGCACAGCTCCTGTTGTGGCCTGGGCCCTTGGGGCTGACTATGGGAACGCTGTTTTCCTTGGCAGGCTGGACCCTAGCCTTTCCCTGTCTGGGGGTCCCTGTAACAGGCACACATGAGACAGGAGACTCAGCTGGAGGAGGAGGGGTTCTGGCACGCACGTCCACACCATGACCTGGGTTGAAGGCTCTGAAGTCAGGAGGGCAGGTGTGATTGGGTCACGCCTCGTGGGCAGTCTCTGGGAAGAAAATCTCACGGCACCGCCTCACTGTGTCCTGTGGGGAAACCACGCTGTGCCCGACAGTCCGGGGGTCGGCGTAGATCTCAAAATCGTTTCCACCCTAAACAGAGGAAGTACAAGAAGGCGTGGGGGGTTGCCTGAGGGGGATTCCAGGGTTAGGGTCCAGCTGTCATCCTGACATGAAGTCCCTCCTCATACTGGCTGCTGAGGGCTGCCCGGTCTCCCTCAGAACTGCCTGACCCTTCCCAGGCTGCTGAGACACAGGGCGTGCCCAGCCCAACCTAGACACAGCCTTCCAATCTGTGTAACGGGTCCCTGGTGATTCTCTCTGTCACCCTGCATCCCGACCTGCAACTTGGGTGACTGGGCTGGGTCACACTCACAGGACTGGTCTCGTTCCCAAAGAAGTGGATGGTGTCGAAGTTGTCCTGGTCCAGACTGTCCAGACAGTAGCGCTTGTCCCAACCCTCAGGGAAGACGTCAAAGCTGATCATGCCTCCTGGGGAGGGGGAGTGACCGGTGAGACCGGCAGAAGGGCGGCTTGCAGGGTGACTTGGGAGGAGACCCCTTGTGTATTCATTCACCCAACAATCCCCATGTGTCCACTTCATGCCAGGGACCGGGGACAGACTCAGGAAGTAACAACACTACATGGGGAAACAGGCCGCCAACAGACAAGACTCCCAGGAACCTGGAGAGCTAGGAAGAAAAACCATGTGTGTGTTTCTAACAGCCCACCCAGCCCACAGTGCCAACACTGATGTAGAGCTGAGACCCAGGCTGGTCTCGGGGACGATGCTGGGAATGGAGTTCCAGGCTTGGGACCAGCAGGCAGCAATGAGACCACAAGTCTCATGACCCAGAAGGAGCCTCTGGAGTGTTTGGAGCAGGGGGACAACATGCCTGTTTTTCTGTAGGATCTCTGTTAACAGGGAAATGAGTTGTAGGGAAGGTGGCAGTGGAGAGACAGGCCACATTAGTGTCAGCTAGAGCCTGGAAGTGGCGTCAAGCAGGGAGAACGGAGCAGTCATCAGATCTGACTCCATGGGTCCCGACAGAAGAACGCAGGGGTTCTCAGATGTTGGCCTGAGCCGCTGGCTGGATGGTGAGGTATCTTCTTTTGGGAGAGGTCTATGGGCAAGTAACATACTGAGTTCCAGCCTTCTTTGGGCTCCTAGCTGCCCTGAGGGTGTGAGGGGCTGCAGTCCAGCCTTGGGAGCGGGGAGGAGGAGGGTTTCCCTGAGTGAGCTCCTAACTTAGACGTCTCAGACCCTCTGCTGGGATGTACCTCGAGAGAACCTCAGCCCTTTGCCAGCAAATTCTGTTTTCAGGGCTTCCACGAACTTCTCCCGGATCTTCTCTCTCTGTGGGCAGAAGGAAGCGGATTGAGGCTCCAGGGGCCTGTGCCAAGCGTACAACTCATGAAGGTTCATCGAGTCTTACAGGTGGGTACCATGACACTCCCCAATTCCCAACTTTACAGATGAGGACAACGAGGCTTAGAGAGGGGATGTGCCTTGTTCAAAGTCACACAGCCACTGTTGTAGAGCCAGGGTTAGTGGGGATGGGCAGGGTTCCCTAAAGGAGGCTTTGGAGCAGAGACCCAGGAAGAAGGTCCAGGGGACGAGATCATCTGAGTCCCAAGTCAATGCCCCTTAAACGTGGCTCAGATACCAGAAGTGAGCGTGAGCTGTATGGAGCAGGGGAAGAGTGGCCCACGCGCAGTGCCGACCACGTGGTGACATGCATTTGCTGAACTGGGGCTGGGTGTTGGGGTTCAGTGGCCCCCAGGACAGCCGATCCCCAGCCCCTGCACAGGACCTGGGAAGGCTGACAGCATATTAACAAACATGGAGGCAGGAACTGACTCTGCTACCCCGAGACTGGCCTTGCTGGAGTCCAAGAGGAAGCCGTCATGGCCAGGCCTGGAGCAACAGCCCAGCATGGGAGCCAGCTCTGAAGAGCAGAACCACAGGGCCAGTGGCTCGCTCAGGGCAGCAAAGCTCTGGCAGGGAGGGAGAGGTGAGCAGCAAGGGCTCCGGGGGACATCGGGTGCATGGAGGGCCTAAGGCCAGGCTGGGGGGTGAGGAGCCTCAGAGGGAGTGGGGTGACTTGTCCTGCATTATCCACAGAGTGGGGAAGGACCAGAGTGGACACAGGCACGCGGTAGCTAGTGGTGTGGGCCTGGAGAAGTCGGGGGGGCGGGGGGCTATATACATCACCCAACCTATTGGAGGCAGTTTCCTGGGCTGAAGGACGAGGCAGGGACCCGGCCGACTTCCCTCTCACAGTAGAAGGGAGGACGCTAAGGAGGCCAGGGCCCCATCAGAGGCTGTTCTGGGGGTCCAGAATTAGAGAAAGGTCTCTGAGTTGCTGCCCCCTCCCCTATCCAGAGAAGCAGGCTGGTCACTGGACAGCCCCGAGTCCCAGTCCATCACTGTGACCAGGAGCTGGTCACTTATCCTCTGATCCCACCCTCTCTCCTTCACCTGAAGGAAGGCCAAGCACTCACTGGTAAGAATGGCCCTCAGGAGGTGTGGAAGGTTCACTTCCACCTCTAATACCAGAAGGGGGCAAGTGTAATGGTGGGGACTATACTATCCCCATTTCACAGATGGGAAAATAGAGGCATACAGTGGTGAAGTCACTTGCCCAGGTAACTCAACAAATAGGAGGGGGAGCTTGGTTTGGAAACTTGACTGGCTGGAGAAGAGTCATCTCTCAGCATGTGCAGGGTCGGGAGAGGAGGGGGAATTGTGCCAATATTGAGCTCATCAACTTCAATGAGAAGAGTCTTGGGGCCTGCGGGCATCTTCTACTCTGTACCTCCGGAGGCAGCGTGTGGCTTTCCCTCTCAGAGCCTTGGTTTCCTAAGGAACATACTACCTAGGTTTCAGTGATTCAGAACGAATTTTTGAGCACAGAGTACAGGCATTGTGCTAGGCACAGGGACTCAGCAGGGGTTAAACCACTCTTATGGGGCTTACAGTTGGGGAGGGAGAGGGTAAGAGCAGGAGACAGATAATAAACCAGAACAAAATAGGACGAAACAAGATCCAAGAAGGCAATGCTGTGGTGTATGAGGAGAGGGTGTTGGAATCAGAATGCATGCTCGCCCACTCCATTTCACTGACAGGAAAATAAAGGCTCAGAGAGTTGAGTGACTTAAAGTCCTGTGCACAGAGGGGGATGGGGGATGGCACCTTGTCCAGTTCGGAGAACTCGATTCGCTCTTCCAGGGTGCAGCTCCGGCCGATGGGGGAGACGTTCAGCATGCCATTCCGGAACTCGATGAAGGTTCCACTGGTAGGGACAGGGATAGGAAGTCAGAAAGACCAAGAACAGCCCTGCATTCTAACTCAGTTCCATCTCCGACTGTAGCCTCCCTGGACTTCAAGAGGGCAGGACTCCACCCACCAAGAAGCCAGGGTCCCCCCAACCCCCGCCCAGGCCCTAGGCCTCTGAGGAGGGGCGCGGAGCAGGCTGCCAGGGCTCACCGCTTCTTGGGCAGTCTGAGCACCGCCATGTAGCTGAGGCAGAAGTTGATCAAGTCCTGAAGCAGCTCTTCCCCCAGGTGGTTCTGGATGGTCTGGCGAGAATCACAGGTTCGGATGCCAGACCGCCCCCGCCCAGGTCACAGGGGGTGTCCTGAATGGTGGGGTGTCCTGCTAGGGCCCTGGAGCTCCCGGGGGGCACTGACCTGCTTGGAGAGCAGCCTTCCATGCTTGTACTGTACTGTCCCGTTCTCAGCAAACACATAGTCAAACTTCTCAATGACTTCAGGGACAACAAAGGCAACAGAGAAGGAAAGAGACTGGCTAGTACCGCAAACCCAAAACACTAAACCAGCTGTCACTGAGCCAATGCTGACTCAAGGGGACCCATGAGCACAGAGCAGATGTCTCCTTGACTGTGACCTTTCAGAAGCAGATTGCCAGCCCTTTGTTGCAAGGTGCCTCTGGGTGAGGTTGCACCACCAACCTTGTGGAAAGCAGTCAAGTGTTTAACTGCTTGTCCTGGTGTGGCGCTGTAGGTTCATGCGATAGACTGCAAAGTCAGTTTGAACTGCAAAGATGGTGGTTCAAGCTCACCAGTCGCTCCTTGGAAACCCTCTACAGGGTCGCTATGGGTTGGAACCTACTCGAGGGCACTTAACAACAACACCATCTAACTAGTACCCCGGGGCCCAGTAAAGAGGGACAATGAAGTCCATACTCCTTGGCTTGGCATTCAAGACCCATTCGCTCCATCCTGACCTGTTCCCTTGGCTTCCTCTCCCTTGGCAGCTTTGTTTTCGCCTATACAAGCCAGTCACACCTTCTGGACTTTGCTCAAGCACGTCCTCCTGCCTGGAACGCCCTCCCCAGGGCCTCCCTTCTTGGGCTCCTGCTCCCAGATCCAGCTCCCTCCTCTGGAAGGCTGTCGGGACTTCCCAGCAGAGGGCGCCATCTCCCACTCTATGCTTCCTTCACACTGTTCTCAGGGTTGCAGGTCAGAGACACTGTGTTCAGCTCCAACTACAAGAAGGGATCCGGTGAGCAGGAAGAGCCCCAGAGAACAGACAGGAGTGCTGTGGATGGGAGGTGAACCTGCATTATGGTGGGGTAGTGGAGATGAAAACATGGATGGATAGGGATACAGTTTTGGACTTGTCAACGGTGGATGGAGAAAAGGAAAAACTCAAGAAGTTTCTGATTTGAGGAACAGAAGGCACTAGCTTCAATGGAGCTGAGACTAGGAGCTCTGGGGTCCAAGCTACTTCCTGGGTGACATCAGTGTCTCCCACTGCTAAGTGGGACAGCCATGCGTTTGAAAGAGTTAAATACAAGGAACTGAACACATCAGCTCATTGGGAGAAAGATGAAGCTTTCTACTCTGGTAAAGATTTACAGCCTCAGAAACCCTATGTTGTTGTTAAGTGCTATCAAGTCTGATACGATTCATAGGGAACCTGTACAGGGTTTCCAAGGTGGGTTTGAACTGCGTCACACCAGCAGTCCAGAAACCTTATACACGGTTTTCTGTGAGTTAGAACCTTCGCAAGCACTTAACAACAACTCATAAGAAAAGAGCTGAGAATGGAAACTGTATAAGGGGAGGGCACTGCTTGTTTTGTTCCCTGCAGTTTTTCCAAAGCATATGGGAAGGGCTAATTCAATGCTTGCTGAATGAGGGAGACTGCCCCCTCTCTACTTTCTCTGCCCCTCCCAGAAGCAAGAATGGGTCTGGTGAGCGCCCCACTCCACTCCCAGCTCACCAGTAGGTCCACCCACCCCAAAACCCCACTGTAGCTCTGGTTTAGATGGCTCCTACCTTCATCCCCATCACCCAGCTGCTCAGCGATCTTGGAGTAGTCAGAGCCGCCCACCACTCCGATCTGCACCCGACTGCGCAGCTTCTGCAGGAAGGCAGCCACTTCCGGGTCAATTTTCTAGGGGTCAGGGGACACAAGATTCCAGCTGTCAGCATGTCTTAGGACCTCTACTTGGTCCTCAGAATCTAGGGAGCCCATATTCCCCCTGGACCTGAGCACAGTCCCCAGGATTTAATGGACTTAGGTTCAAACACTGGCTCAACACCCTCTCCAATACATGACCTTGAACAAATGACTTAGCCTTTCTGAGTCTCAGTTTTCTCATCTATAAAATGGGAATCATAGTAGTAACCACCTGGAGGAGGGGTCACAGTCAGGAAAATGACAACACATCTGACCGTCCCCCAAAACAAACAGACAGACAGACACAGAGACAGCCATCAGTAAATTGTGGAAACCTATATAGGGTTTGTTGTTGTTAAATGCTATCCAGTCAGTTCTGACTCACAGAAACCCTATCTAGTGTTTCCAAGGAGCGGCTGGTGAGCTTGAACCACCAACCTTGTGGTTCAAATCAACCTTGCAGTCCAGTGCATTAACCCACAGCACCACACCAGGACTCCATATAGGGTTTCTGAGGCTGTAAATCTTTATAGGGGTAGACAGCCTTATCTTTATCTGGTAGAATCAGCAGACCAATGCCTAACCCACACCACCACCACGGCACCTAATATACCCAAAGTGCTTGGAAATGAAGAAGCAGTTAACCAGTGAGTAAATTTAAAAAAACACACATACTGTATGACAAACAGAGAGACAAAATAAGGAAGATTAAAGAAAAATTGACAGCACCTGGTGTGGCGCTGTGGGCTAAGGCTTCAGACTGCAAAGTCGTCTGAACTGCAAGGTCGGTGGTTCAAGCTCACCAGCTGCTCCTTGGAAACCCTATACAGGGTCACTATGGGTTGGAACTGACTCTCTGGCACTTGACTACAAGTATTACTCTGGCGCTGTGGGCTAAGGCATCACACTGCAAAGTTGTCTGAACTGCAACGTCGGTGGTTCAAGCTCACCAACTGCTCCTTGGAAACCCTATACAAGGTCGCTATAGGTTGGAATCGACTCGACGGCACTTACCTAACAACAACAAAGAATTGATGGTTTCAAATTATAGTTTTGGTGAAGGATATTGATTATGCTGTGGACTGCTGGAAGAGTGGACAAATCGGTTTCGGAAGAAGAACAACCAGAATGTACTTCTGTAGAAACCAGGTTGGAGACACTTTGTCTCACGTACCAGGAGGGACCAGTCCCTGGAGAAGGACATCCTGCTTGGGAAAGTGGCAGGTCAGAGCCTTAACCACGGACCTTGCTATGCAAACCAACATCCAACAAGGGGCTCAAACACAGCACTGACTGAGGATGGGGCAGCATTTGGTTCTATCGTACACAGAATCGCTGTGAGTCAGAACTGACGTGATGGCACATAGAAACAACAAAACTCCAAACCAGTAACGTTGACTCCGACTTCTATGTGTCAGAGTAGAACTGTACCCCACAGGATATTCAAAGGCTGATTTTCAGTAGATCACCAGATCTTTCTTTTGAGACACTCTAGATGAACTACTCACCCAGGGTCTTTGTGAGTAATCATGTGTAAAAATGCCTCACCAGGGGAATGGGAACTAATGAGTTGTTTACTGCAATCCATTTCTTCATACACTCTGAGATGCAAACACCAAAACAGCTGACCATCTCTAGAGTATACGACAATGGGGAATCAGGGCTGTTGGGGAGAGTGTAAACTGGGTCAGTCATTTTGGAAGGGAGTGTGGCAAAATGGATTTGATTGAAAATATACACACTCCGTCACCCAGAATTCTTTTGCCTGAGTGTGTATGGAAGCTCTCTTGGGTGGGCTTATTATCACAGTGGAAAACGGCAAACTACTTCAGTGCTAACAGGTTTTCTGGATTGAACTGTGTCCCCCAAAATATGTGTTGCCACCCTAACCCCTATCCCTGGGCATTCAATACTCTTCACCAGCACCATAATTTAACAGCCAGAATACTCCTTAGAAGCGAGGGTGGCGAGACTTTGTCTCTCTTACTTTGGACATGCCAGGAGGGACCAGTCCCTGGAGAAGGACTTTTGGTGATGTCAGCAAAAAAGAGGAAGACCCCCCTCCCTGCAAAGGAGATGGACTGACCTAGTGGTGGCAACAATGGGTTCAAACCTGACAGCTGTGAGGACGGCACAGGACTGAGCATTGTTTCGTTTTGTTGTGCATAAGGTGGTTAGAAGGAGCTCTGGTAGCATAGTGGTTACAAGTTGGGCTGCTACTCTCACATTCAGCAGTTCGAAACTACCAGCTGTTCCACAAGAGAAAGATGAGGCTTTCTGTACCCATAAAGATTTACAGCCTCGGAAACTCTGTACAGGGTTGTTATGTGACAGAACCGACTCCACGGCACCTAACAACCACAACAAGGTGGCTATGAATCAGAACTGACTAGATGCCCCTACAAACAACACAATCTCTATGCATGTAATCATCTGGAAACAAGGTTTTCTTTGTTATGTTAATGAGGCCTTACCAGTATAGGGTGTGTCAGAAATAGAAGGACTTTTGAGATATAAAAAGTGCACAGTAGACAGAGAACCAAACACAAATGAAGGGAAAGACAAATAAATGTCACTAAAGAGAACCAAGAAACCAAGGAACGCCAGAGTTGGAGAACTGAAGACAAAGGTTCCCCAGAACCAACAGAGATCTATCTGCCTTCCTCTGGGGCCGGCTAGCACTCTGAATTCAGACCTGTAGCTTCCTAAGGCAAAACCCAAATCCAAACCCACTGGAATCTACTAGATTTGGACTCTTAGAGGCCCTACAGAGAGTTTCCAAGACTGTGAATCTTTACAGGCACAGACAGCCTCATCTTCCTTCTGAGGAGTGGCTGGTGAGGTTGAACTGCCAATCTTGTGGTTAGCAGTCTAATGCCTGACCCACAGCGCTACCAGGGCTCCTTCAGTAATTATGAGAAAATCAACTTTTCTTCTTTAAAGCCTTCCCTTTGGATATTTACTGTTAGAACAGCGAGAGTTAGAAAATGCCACATATCGTCTTAAAAATGCATCACTGCGGCTCCTTTTCATAAAGATGGCAGCCTCGCAAACCCGGTGGGGCAGTTCTACTGTGTCCCACAGGGTCACCATAGTCGGGATAGACTCAATGGCAAAGGATTAGGTTGGGTTGGGTTTGAAGTCTTCTCACAAGGAGGGCTGGTGGCACAACAGTTAAGTGCTGACTGACTGCTTAAAGGTTTTTGTTTTGAACCAACCAACTGCCCCGCAGGAGAAAAGATCTGGCAATCTGTTCTCATAAAAATTTCAACATAGGAAATATTACACTGAGCCTTTCTGCTCCTGTAAAGATTTACAGCCTTGGAAACCCTGTACAGGGTCACTATGAGTCAGAACCAACTCCACGACACTTAACAACAAGGCCACAATGCACCAGAATGAACTCAAAGGCATACAACAACAACGTCCTCCCAACATATTCATGTGAAGTGCCCTCAAGTCAATTCTGAAAACGACCCTCTCTGTGGTTTCCGAGGAGTGGCTGGTGGGTTGGAACTGCAGACCTTGAGACTCAAACCCATCTTGCAATCCAGTGCATTATCCCGCAGTGCCACATGAGGGCTCTTTCAACATGGGAGAGTCCGAAAACACATGGTTAATTGTCAAAAGCAAGCTGCAGCATCTTCTCTGTTCCCCTGCAGCCACAGACATGAAAGCCAAATTGTGCAGTTTCAGCGGGTACAAAATCTACAGTGGACACAGTAGATGCTGATGGATGGGAAGGCTTTCTAGTTTCTTAATGTAAAATGCGAGTCTGCATTCCTTTCCACGAGGAACCCTAGGCAGGACTGTCCTCTACAGGAGAAACCCCAAATAAGGAGCAATTGGAAGACATTCAAAAGAAAAGAGCCCGTTGTGCAGCCAAACTCCAAAGGGTCATCGCTGGTGCATCTTTTGGTGGTAGGATGGCCAAGCTATACCAGAAGCCTGAAGTTAGAAAGGCTCAAGGAGAACAGACCATCAGGGCTGCCGAGAAAACAAAAAAGGCTAAGTAAGTATCTAAAAAGACAGCAATGGCTGCTGCTAAGGCTCCCACAAAGGCAGCACCTACGCAAAAGATTGTGGAGCCTGTAAAAGTTTCTGCTGCGCCCCCCTCCCCCAAGTTAATGGAACGTGATAGATTGGCAGATAAGACATTTAAATAAAGATTCAACTGTAAAGAAACAAACAAAAAAGCAAGCTTCAGTGAGGTATGTTGTTGTTGTTGTTAAGTACCATGGAGTCAGTTCTGATTCATAGCGACCCTGAACAGGGTGTCCAAGGCTGTAAATCTTTACAGGAGCAGAACGCCTCATCTTTCTCCTGTGGAACCGCTGGTAGTTTCGAACTGCTGAACTTGAGGTTAGCAGCCCGATTCATATATACAGAATGATATCACTTATTTAACAAAAAGATTGTGAACCATCATCTAAGTTACAATTATAGGCCTTGTCTCTTACTATCCAGAGTATAGAAGTGTGAAGAAAACCAAAGACTCAGGGAAACAATTATTCCAAAGGACTACAAAGAATTACAACCTCCATTCACCTGAGACCAGAAGAGTGAGCTGGTACACATTTACCACCACGTCGGTTCTGACAGGGATCACAATAGGAGGTACCAGATAGAGTAGTAGAAAAATGTAGAACAAAATTCAAATTCATAAAAAAAGACTTACTGGGCTGACAAAGACTGGTAGAACCCCTGAGAATATAGCCTGTAGATACCCTTCTAACTTAGAACAGAAACCACCCCTGGAAGTCACCTTTCAGCCACATAAAAGAACAGTGACACCTAGGAGAAACCTGCTCCTCAGAACCATGAGACCAAAAGGGTAGTATTTGCCCCAAAGCAAAGTTAACAAGGTAGGAAGGGGCAGAAAAACCGGACAAAAGGAAACAGGGGCAACCAAAGTAGAAATTACAAGGCTGACGCATTGTAGAAATTGTAACGAATGTCACGGGACAATCAGTGTATGGGAAACAAATCTGCTTTGTAACTTACACTTAAAATACAATCTATATAAAGAAATGAATGAAAGAATCAGAAAGAGAAATAAAGTGATGTGACAATGCTTAATATTTCCTTTGGGCAAAGAGAGAGCCAGGTTAAAAAGATTCCAGCCACATCACACAACCATTTACACTGGGGAGGGGATAGGAGGGCGGCGGGGGGAGCATTGGGCCTGTCAAGAAAGGACTTTAGCCTTCTCTGTTTTGTTTTCTTTCTTTATAAGAACGTGATCATAAACATCTGTATAATTAAAAATTAATGTATAAAAAGCCTTAAGCCTAGGGCTGGTCCAGGGTTTGAACTGACAAGTTCTTCTCAGGCATCAGACTGTTGTCATCGGAGCAAAAGGTTAGAGGGAGACACGGAACTGTGGGCAGGCCCTGCAGCCCTCCTCTGCCCTGGTCCTCTCGGTTCCAGGCTGCTGGAGACCCTAGAGTTGCTGCAGAGCAGGGCTGATCTGATTCCTCTCTGTGCCTCAGGGGGCAACCTCCAGACCCTGTTAAGAGGCTAAGTTACCTGGCATCCCCAGCTCTTGGGTCCCCAGAATGAGGGTGGAATATCATAGCTGGAGGGGAGAGGCCTGCTCTTCCTTATCGAGCTGGAGCGTGTGGTTCTGGGAGGCTCATCCAGGGTGATGTTCAAAGTGAGAAAAGCTGAGCATGGAGCACAGTTTGGAGGGTCATCAGAAAAAGAAGCCTTCAAAAGGACATCTTCCACCCTGTCTGCGCCTCAAAATCCTCACACACCTGTCTTGGCCCTGTCGCCTCCAGTGGGTGGAGTCCATGAACTCATCCCATATCTGCAAGTCTGGGTGTGGATTAAAATGGAGAAGGGTAGGGAGACACCAGCCCCAGGCCCAGGCATGCAAACCTCAGGGTGGGATGGCGCCAACGCCCCAAGCTCCCCGACATGAGGGCGACTTTGACGATTGAGTGATCGCCCAGCCTTGCCTGGAACCCAGGTTCGGAAGCAGCTACAGGCTGCTGGTGTATCATAAGGGTGGCAGCCACCGCAGGGGAGGCCTTGGCGTGTAGAAGCCTGTCGGAGCACTGGGAGCTGAGGTCCCGCTCGCAGCCGCCTCCAGAGCCGGCTCCAGCCCTGCGTGGCCCAGGGAGAAGGTGGGCACGTATGCACAGGGGGCTGACATGGGGGTCGAGTCCCCATCACTCGCGGCAGGCGGCTCCGGGGTGTCAGGATTCGGGTACCGCTGCATCCTACATTCGGTCCCTGAGTGTTTGAGGTCTCTGTCGGTTTGGGAGCCTCCGTCTGTCACTCCCTGTGCGAATTCCCGAGTGTCGGAACCCTACCTGGCGAGCCGGCGTAAGCGTTCCGTCCACGTCAAACAGGCAGAGGACGCGCTCCTTCCTGCGGGCGCCCTCGGCGGTGACCGCCATGGCTGCAGCTCAGCTCGCCGGGCGGAGTCGCAGGTTGGAGAAGCGGGAGACTAGAAAGTAGAAGAGAGGGCAAGGCGGGACTTTGGGGGCGGAGTCTTATAGAACGGGGTCAGAGGCCTGCGTTTGATTGGACTCAATTATTCAGGGGCGTGACTTGGGCGTGATATCTGCGAGGGAAGGATGGTCCCGCATGGGACGGGGGCGGGGTCTGAGCCGATTCGGAATTGCCCCAGCTGAAGAGGCGGGGAAAGAGGCGTGGCGAGCCTGTAGGTTCATTGGATTGGTCCATACCTGACGGAGACAGGGTCTGGGCTTAGGCCCGGCGGGAAGAGAGGGAGTGAATCCGGAAAAGAGGGGTGGTGCCAAAGTTGATGCCAGGCGGAGTGATATGAATTGATGGCACCTGACAGAGAAAGGATTGGACCGCTCCTGTGCTGTGTCCAGCGAGGCGAAGGTAGAACTCAGAGAGCCTGGACAGTCCTGGACTCTCCTCACCCGTCATCAACCACTCCATGACTCATCTCCTCCCGGGTAGTCCCTTTGCCTTGTTGAATCCCTCTTGGTCATAATATATGTGTGTATTGTTGCTGTTGTTATGTGCCATGGAGTCGATTCCATCTCATAGCGACCCTGTGCAGGGTTTCCGAGTCTGTAAACCTTTACAGAAGCAGAAAGCCTCATCTTTCTCCCGCGGAACAGCTGGTATTTTCTAACTGCTGACCATGAGCTTAGCAACCGGTTCGTAACCACTACGCTACCAGTGCTCCTTCTTGTTGTTGTTGTTGTTGTTAAGTGCCGTTGAGTAGTTTCCGACCCATAGCGACCCTGAACAGGGTTTCAGAGTCTGTATGTCTTTACGGGAGCAGAAAGCCTCTTCTTTCTCCCGCGCATGTATGTATTTGTATGTTGTTGTTGTTAAATGCCGTCGAGTCGATTCCGACCCACAGAGACCCGAGAAGCAGCTGGTGAGCTTGAACCGCCGACCTTGCAGTTCAAACGGCTTTGCAGTCTGATACATTACCCACAGTGCCACACCAAGACGTCATGTATGTGTATGTGTATGTTGTAAGGAGCTCTGGTAGTGTAGTGGTTACGAATCGTGCTACTAATCTCAAGGTCAGCAGTTCGAAACTACCAGCTGTTTTGCAGCAGAAAGATGAGGCTTTCTTCTCCTATAAAGATTTACAGCCTTGTAAACCCCGTACAGGGTGGCTATGGGCCGGAACCAACTCCACAGCACACCACCACCACCATGAATGTTGTTGTTAAGTGACATCTAGTTGATGCCAACTCATAGTCACCCTTAGTCAAACTGTATGGGGTTCCTAAGGAGCAGCTTGCTGGTCTAAGGAGCAGCTGGTGGGTTTGAACCGCTGCCTTGTGGTTAGCAGTCCAGTGATACAAAGTTGCTGAATTCTATTGGCTAGGATTTTGTTGAAATTTTTGTGTCTGTGTTCATGAATTATTTGGTATGGTTCTTCTAGTCTTAGTCTTTATAACTCCCACCAAATGACTGGGTTGTTATTATTGTTAAATGCCATCGAGTCTGTTCCAACCCATAGCGACCCTGTATAGGGGTTCTGAAAGGAGTGTCTGGTGAGCTTGAACTGCCGACCTTGTGGTTCAAACCGACTTTGCAGTCCAGCGCATTAACTCACAGCTCTACACCAGGATTCCAAAATGACTGTGTGAGGCCATGAAAATCGGGTGTATGAAACTTTAACACGGGAAATGGTTAGTTTTGCCATCTCACTGGGTTTAAAATGAGCCGTTTTAGAAGCAGTAAAGAGTCTTCTAACGACCACCAAGAAAGAAGAGCCAGGGGGCAAAATGGCAGACTAGGCAGACAACTACACAGACCCTCTACAATAAAGACACAGGAAACCAAATGGAACAGATACAGAGGACACTCCTGGAACCCTGAGCATCAGAGGGAAGATTAGACACAGATTAAATATCTACTGGATGGAGAAGCTGAGCAAGGGCAGAGAAAGGAGACTGAATAGTGAACAGACTGCCAGTATCTTGAACCTTTATGAGCAGCTTTGGAGACACAGACAGACAGTGGACCTGGCAGATTCACACACACAGCAGAAAAGCTGTGATTTCTTCTTGTTCCCCATACTCTCTGAATAGTAGATGTGAGGCCAGCCTCCACCCTCAATTAGCCCCAGTGAAGACCCTGCTCACTGGCAGGTGTATAGTTTGAGCCAGTGTGAGGTGGGTATCAGCTGTGCCTCCTTGATGCCTGGATCTACTGAACCCACAGAGCGTCCAGGCCAGAAGTAGACTAGCAGGGTCTTCATTATCAGCTACTGTGTCCCCAGCTGCCCTCTGGTTCTGACAGACACTGAAATTAGCAACTTGAAGGCCTTCCTCAAACTACTTCAGAATTGGGTGCCCTGAACATACACAGCACCTAGGCCTGTAGGAATGCCACATAAGGCTTGAGATTGAGTCATCACATTCCTTGTTCACCCACCTCGTGAGTTCCTTGGCTGGCACAAGCGCCCCCATACTTTTCTCTTTTCTGGGTCCAACAACTGTACAGGTTGATTGTTTATTTTCCCTTTCATTATTTCATTGTATTTTGTTTCTTTCTTCTCCTTTGCCTTTTCTTTCCCTCCCCTTAATTTTTATCCTATCTCTGCTTTTGTTTTTTCTCTTCTTCTGTTTCTCATTTCCACCATCTTTTTTTCTCTTAAATTTTCTTTACTACTCTCTAGTTTCTTTCTCTTTCCATCTTCCCTGTTTCTTTTTAGTGTTTTTTTTCCTCTGTCTCTTAATTTTCTCTTGTATTTTCCTTTCCCTCATTTCTCTTTCTAGTTATCATGTTCTTTTTTTCTTGTTGCTGCCCATTCTTGCTTCTTTTTTCTTCTTTATTATATCTTGTTTTGCTGTTGTTTGCTTGCTCCATTTTGTTTTCCTCTGTATGTTTTTTCTCTTGTTCCACCTAACGGGAGACAGCAATCATGTCCATACAGCTTAGCCACAACCACTGGATAAGACCCAATACCAGCTCCTAAACCACCTGATCACAACAATAAATATCAGCCAGACCTACCCTAAACTGAGTTGCATGAATGGTGAATGGAAAATGGTGCGCTAGTTTCCATTCTCTAATCACACCCACCAGGAGACAGTTGATGAGAGCCGAAGAACACCAACACACAATCTTCAATTAATTACAAATACAACGGTAATGTGTCAAGGACAACAGATGTTTTTACCTCACACAAGGAAAAAAGAGAGAGTGGTTCAAACAAATGACCAAGATCAGACTTAGAAAACATTTCTGAGGAAGAAAAGGTAATAGAACTACCTGAAAAAGAATTCAAAAGAATGATATTTATGTACCTTCAACGGATGAGAGGAAGATTGAGGAAAGAAAGCAAAATACAGAAAACACTTCAAAAAATTTAGCCAAACAATACGACAGCAAAAAGACAAAATAAGTGCATTTTTGCAAACAGTTGTTGTTGTTGTTGTTAGGTGCCATCGGGTCGGTACTGACTCAAAGCGACCCAATGCAAAACAGAATGAAACACTACCCGATCCTGGGTCAATCTCACAATTATTGCTACACTTGAGCCCATTGATGCTGCCACTTGGCCAATCCATCTCACTGGGGGTCTTCTTCTTTTTCTTTGACCCTCCACCTTACCAAACATGATATCCTTCTCTAGCAACTGGTCCCTCCTGACAATATGTTCAAAGTATGAGAGA